CTCAAGTGATCCTCTTGCCTCAGCTTCCCACAATGCCCGGCTATTTTTGTTTGTTTTGTTTTCTTGAGATAGAGTTTCACCTTGTTCCCCTTGGTAGAGTGCTGTGGTGTCATAGCTCACAGCAACCTCAAACTCTTAGGCTCAAGTGATTCTCTTGCCTCAGCCTCCCAAGTACCTGGGACTATAAGCGCCCACTACAATGCCTGGCTATTTTTAGAGACTGGGTCTTGCACTTGCTCAGGCTGGTCTCCAACTTGTGAGTTCAGGCAATCCACCTGCCTTGGCCTCCCAAAGTGCTAGGATAATAGGCACAAGCCACCATGGCTGGCCAGCATTTTTCATATACCTGTGGCCATTTGTCTGTCTTCTTTTGAGAAAATGTCTATTAGATCCTTGGCCACATTTTTTTTTTTTTTGAGTCAAAGTCTCACTTTGTCACCTTTGATAGAATGCCTTGGCATCTTAGCTCTCAGTAACCTCAAACTCTTGGGTTTAAGTGATTCTCTTGTCTCCGCCTCCCAAGTAGCTAGGACTTACAGACACCTGACACAATACTGGGCTATTTTTAGAAATCGTGGTCTCACTCTGGCTCAGGATAGTCTCGAACTCGTTTAGCTCAGGCGATTCACTTGCCTCAGCCTCCCAGAGTGCTAGGATTATAGGCGTGAGCCACCTTGCTCTGCCCCCAGCCTGGGAATCTTTTTTTTTTTTTTTTTTTTGCAGTTTTTGGCCAGGGCTGGATTTGAACCCACCACCTCTGGCATATGGGGCTGGCGCCCTACTCCTTGAGCCACAGGTGCCGCCAGCCTGGAAATCTTGATATCATTTATTGTATCTTTCCAACTAAAGTTCCTATTTAGGCTCGGCACCTGTGGCTCAAGCAGTTAAGGCACCAGCCACATACACCTGAGCTAGTGCGTTCAAATCCAGCCTGGACCTGCCAAACAACGATGGCAGGTGGGACAACAATAGCTGGGAGTTGTGGTGGGCATGGGCACCTGTAGTCCCAGATACTCAGGAGGCAGAGGCAGGAGAATCACTTGAGCCCAGGAGTTGGAGGTTGCTGTGAGCTGTGATGCCATGGCACTCTACCCAGGGCAACAGCTTGAGGCTATCTCAAAAAAGAAAAAAATAAAATTCCTGTTTAGTCCTTTTCCAGTTGTGGTTTGTCTATTTTTGTAATTTCAGATCTCTGCTGAAATTCCCACACTGGCTTTTATGCCCTTGCAGTACTAAGTTCAATTGCTTCAATTTCTATGATTCCAACACATCAAATTTCTGCAGGTCTGTCTGCTGTTTTTCTGTTTGGTGTCACTTATGCTGCCTTATGTCTATAAGTAAGTGCTTGACTAGGTTCTGTGTTGGTTGGATGTCATATTTGAAAAATTATCATAGCCAGGCGTGGTGGCTCACACCTATAATCCTAGCACTCTGGGAGGCAAAGGTGGGTGGATTGCTTGAGTTCACAAGTTCAAGACCAACCTGAGCAAGAGAGAGATCCTGTCTCTACTAAAAACGAAAAACTGAGGCAAGAGGATTACTTGAGCCCAAGAGTTAAGGTTGCTGTGAGCTATGATGCCACAGCACTCTACCAAGGGTGACAGCTTGAGATTCTGTCTCAAATAAAAAAAGAATAATATGGGCAGTGCCTGTGGCTTAGCAAGTAGGGTGCCGGCCCCATATACCAAACCCGGTCCCAGCCAAACTGCAACAAAAAAATAGCTGGGTGTTGTTGCAGGCACCTGTAGTCCCAGTTACTCCGGAGGCTGAGGCAAGAGAATCGCCTAAGCCCAAGAGCTGGAGGTTGCTGTGAGCTGTGATGCTATAGCACTCTACTGAGGGCAATAAAGTGAGACTCTGTGTCTACAAAAAAAAAAAATAATAATATTATAATCCTTTTATGTCTAGGATGATGCTACCATCCTCTAGAGACTTTTTGTGTGCTTTTACTGAGCATCCAGAGATGCTAGCAATCTGTTATCTTATTCCAAGTTCAAGGCTTAAGAATTTCTGGACTACCCAAAGTGGTGGGAGACTAGGCTACAGGACATGCAGGAGTAAACCAGTAAGCTGGTTACTCCGTATTTATCCTTTGGTGTCTCAAAGGCTGGCTGTCACTAGGTTCTTTTTTTTTTTTTTTGAGACAGAGCCTCAAGCTGTCGCCCTGGGTAGAGTGCTGTGGCATCACAGCTCACAGCAATCTCCAACTCCTGGGCTTAAGTGATTCTCCTGCCTCTGCCTCCCAAGTAGCTGGGACTATAGGTGCCCGGCACAACACCTGACTATTTTTTTGTTGCAGCCATCATTGTTGTTTGGCAGGCCCAGGCTGGATTCGAACCCGCCAGCTCAGGTGTATGTGGCTGGCTCCTTAGCTGCTTGAGCCACAGGCGCTGAGCCATAGGTTCTTATCTTACCTGTTCCCAGATTCCAACTTTTTGCCCCTTTAGCTCCTTTAAAGCCCCCAAAGCACAGCTCAGCAATGTAAGGTGGCTCATACCTGGAGTCCCAGCTACTTCAGAAGCTAGGGAGGAAGGACTGCTTTGGCATAAGAGTTCAGGCTGAAGTGAGCTATGACCATGTGCCACTGTACTCTAGCCTGAATGACAGAGTGAGACTCCATCTCAAAACAAAACAATCCACCACCATCCCCAAACAAAAAGGCAGCTGAACTTCTCAACACCCATATCACAATTGGTCAAAGCCTCTAGGTCAAAGGCAGCCATTAGGGCAGCGGTTCTCAACCTGTGGGTCACGACCCCTTTTTGACAATGAAAATACATTGCAGCATTAGGAAAGTTGAGAACCACTGCTTTAGGACTTTCTTTCCCCTCTGGGTTCCTGATCAATCTTAACGCCCTTCTGATGATTTTTAGATTTTTCTCATATTTCACCCAGCTTTAAAAATTTCTAATGATTTTGTTTTTGAAAGCCATAATGCAGATTTTGGGGTGCCAAGTACAGTGGCTCACACCTGTAATCCTAGTACTCTGGGAGGCTGAGGCAGGTGGATTGCTTGAGCTCATGAGTTCGAGACCAGCCTAAGCAAAAGCAAGACCTCGTGTCTACTAAAAGTAGAAAAACTGAGGCCAGAGGATCATTTGAGCCCAAGAGTTGGAGGTTGCTGTGAGCTATGATGCCACAGCACTCTACCCAGGGCAACAGCTTGAGACTCTGTCTCAAAAAATAAATTTTTTTTCTAATGAGTATTGGTCTGAGACACCCTAGTCTACCATTATCAGAGATAGGAACCTCCCGTCAGTTTATTCATGTATCACAGAGCTGTAGCATACAACAGTTGTGACTACAACTGCATAAAAGACAAAATCTTAGTGGCCAGCGGCGGTGGCTCACACATGTAATCCTGGCACTCTGGAAGGCTGAGGCAGGTGGATTTCTTGAGCGCATGAATTCGAGACGAGCCTAAGCAAGAGTGAGAACCTGTCTCTACTAAAAATAGAAAAACTGAGGTGAGAGGATTACTTGAGCCCCAGAGATGGAGGTTGTTATAAGCTATGATGACCATAGCACTCAAGCAATAGCTTGAGACTCCTTCTCAATAAAAAAAGACAAAACCTTATAGGTGCAAGACTTCCTTATATTCACATTCAGTGGTAGAGCCAAGTTTAATCTCAGTGTTCAAGACTAATCACTTCACTTGCATATAACCTAGACACAAGGGTTAATTTTGTTTTACTTTTTCACCTGGGATAAGAAGTGGCAGGGTGGTGCCTGTGGCTCAAAGGAGTAAGGCGCTAGCCCCATATACTGGAGGTGGTGGGTTCAAACCCAGCCCCGGCCAAAAACCGCAAAAAAAAAAAAAAAAAAAAACCATCATAAAAAGAAGTGGCAGTCTTGCCAAAAGATGAGAGGATGGAGGCAATGACCTAGGCATTGGCCCAGCACCTCACACACTCCTCTCCCAGACCTGACTTAAAGGAAGATGAGATTTTAGATATTTTATGCTTTAGGGATAAGAAATGAAACAATGCAGTCCTCCGCATTCCTAAACCATTTATTATTGATACCCCATGAACAGTTATTATTTTTTTTTTTTTGAGACAGAGTTTCACTATGTTGCCCTTGGTAGAGTGCTGTGGTGTCACAGATCATAGCAACCTTAAACTCTTGAGCCTAAGCGAGTCTCTTGCCTCAGCCTCCCAAGTAGCTGAGACTACAGACACCTGCCACAATGCCTGGCTATTTTTTGGTTGCAGTTGTCATTGCTGTTTAGCTGGCCAGGGCTGGGTCAAACCTACCAGCCTCAGTGCTTGTGACTGAAGCCGTAACCACTGTGTTATGGGCACTGATCCTTTTTTGTTGTTGTTGCAGTTATCATTGTTGTTTAGCAGGCCCAGGCCAGGTTTGAACCCACCTGTCTTGGTGTATGTGGCTGGTGTCCTAACCACTGTGCTACGGGAGCTGAGTCAGACCTGTTATTCTTTTTTTTTTTTTTTTTGAGACGGAGCCTCAAGCTATCCCCCTGGGTAGAGTGCCATGGCATCGCGCTCACAGCAACCTCCAACTCCTGGGCTC